TCCTCGATATATTAGTTGACTGTTGTTTGGATTGATGAGGAAGACACCTTGTAGTAGTTTAATCTCGGCGATGACCTGGCCGATGATTTTTAAACGTTCTCATGTGGGGAAAGTTGACAGATACTGGTTGATTTGTGGTATCCACTCCAAGTGGTTGGCAGAGATGTCCAGTGTTGTGGAGCTGCAAATTTCTGTACTGCCATACTCTAGCAGATTCAATTCACATTGAGCGTTTGTGTAAGTTATTAAATCAGGAGAGCAAAAGTGTACGTATGCAGTTTTTTGTGTACAAGTAGTCTTTAGTGTAATTATTTGAGTTTTCTCAAGACCAGATTGTGGTTTAACATTTGGAAATATAGTTACACAGCTTTCTGTGTAATAGGGTCGAGCGGTAGTTTTCGTCAAGGACGTGAAGTTGATTTCTATAGTGGTTTAGTTTAAAAAAATGGATTAATTCGTGTGGGACATCTGACTTTTGCAGTGCCTAAGTCTATAGGGATGAGTCCTGAGCCTGTCGTGATGTCCGTTGTTATTGCTCCCGATGTGACTGCCAAGAGCAGTGTCCTGGAACAGATTTGTTTGTGAGTTACCCGTCTTCCTTGGTCGTTTTATGTTTTTTAAATGAATTTTCTCTTTTGTGTTGTGGTGTTGGGTCTTTATTTTTGTGGTTTTTAATTCTTTGTTAACAGGATTATCTGTTCTGGTTTGTAATGGTCTTTGGTTTTGCTCTTTATTTGTGCGTTTCGCACGTAAACGTCTTCGGGAATTTCAGGGATGGTTCCCTGTTTTCGTTCCGTTTGTTAATAGATTTCTCCTTGTTGATATGGCTTAATTCTCTAATTCTCTCATATAATAATTTAGTTCGTTCTCTGTGGTTTGCTATGTAGTCGTTAGTTAATTGCTCGTCTATATTTATATCTAGTCTTATTTATATTGCCACTGTGGATTTCAAGTGGTGTGTGCTTTATGGCAGAATGTGTCGTGTTGTTGTAAGCGAATATAGCATAATTAATTTTGTCTTCCATATTCTGATCATTGAATTAATCTCTATTTTGAGTAATCGTATGTGCTCTACGATTGTGGAGTGTAGTCGTTCTATCATCCCATTTGATAGTGGATGTTATGTGCTGGTGAAATGTGTGTCGATTTTGTAGACATTAAGTAATTCTTTGATAAGGGAGTTATTGAATTCCACGGCATTGTCGGTAACGATATTCTTCGGTATGCCGTAACGTGTGAAATGCTTGATTAATTTGTGTGTTATTTCGACGGCCTGTGAGGTTTTAAGTTTATAAGCTTGAGCAAGACGTGAAAAACTGTCTATGGTCGTGAGAAATTTGTTTTCGTCCACTGAAAAAGTGTCAATGTGGATTATTTCGTTAGGGCGTGTGGATGAGGGGGTGACATTCAGTTCAAGATTGAGGTGCGTTCTGTCGTATTTTGTCTTTAGACACAACTCGGATCTATTGATATAATTTCGAATATGGGTTTTTATGTTTGGTCAATAATATTTATTTTTTTATTTTGTTATACGTCTCGTCTATTTCTCTGTGATTTGTCTTTCCGATATGCTAACTTTTAATTATTTCCAGTATCTCGTTTTATTCGATTACGTCCAGTAGTTGTGTACAGTAACAGAATAGTATTAACTCAGATTCCTTCAAGTATTGTTTCATAATACGGCGAAAGTCTTCGTAAAAATTCGTTTCGAAATAAATTCCGTATTTTACTTTTGTACAATAAATTCCGCGGCGAAATTGTTTTTTGAAATTTCAACTACTAACCTTGTTTTGGTCTCGAATAATTTTATTATTTTGACCTTTTTGGGTTGGAAGTTTACAAGTGACATTATGATTTGGTTTTACAATAATTTATTGGACGTTCAACGATTGGTACCTCAATTTCTATGTTGTTTTGATAGTTCGAATGTACCGTCTGTTCGTCGGTTTCTTCTTCAATCATTTCTATGTCACTATCGTCCGGTGGGTTTGCTACTATTGATGTCATATCAATGTCCGGATTTGTGTTGGTCAGTTCCGCAAAATTCCGTTTATTTGTTCGTTTGGCAAGTTTGCGTTTCTGTCTTCTAGTACTTCTGTTAAGATTTTGTCTATGTCTAGAGTTCGTGAACCTGAAATCTCGGGTTTGAAAGAGTTTCATTCGTTTATGTGTCTTTCTACTCTAGATAGAGCGTCTGCGTTAGAATTTAATTGTCCTTTTTTGTATTTAATCTCAAAGTTATATTCTTCCCGTTTTAGTCTCCATCTCAGTAATTTTGATGTAGGGTCTTTTAATGAGAAAAGCCACTGCAAAAGTTTATGGTCGGATAGAATAAGAAATTTTTTCCCGTATAGGTAGGGTCTGAAGTATTTTACTGTCCATACGATAGTGAGTAGTTCTCGTTCTATTGTGGATAAATTCATTTCGATGTCTGAAAGTGTTCTGCTAGCATATGCTATAGGTAAGTCTGACCCGTCGAAGTCTTGGCTCAATACAGCGCCAAGGGCAATGTTGCTAGCGTCAGTGGTCAAATGGAACGTTTTTGTAAAGTCTGGGAACTTTAGGAAAATACATTTAAAAAAAATAAAATAAAAAAATAAATAAAATAGATAAAATTTAAAATTTTTAACATTGGGCTTAGTATATATACCATTCAAAGGAAGGCCTTTTATATGTTTAAAAAACATACTGTTAAAAGTACAGTAGATATTGTTGGTGTGCTAAAAAATTCTAGAAAACATTTATATAAATTCATAATTTAACCTAGCGTAAACAAAACCAGTTCATTTTTCATTTCTTTTGTTAATTTTTAAGTTGAAATATCAACATTGCCAACTTGATTTTCCGAGTTTTCATATCATCATTTGGCTTTTCTAAGAATAACATCACATGATCTATAGTGTTTAAAAAAAATCATGTACGTTTTAGTCAAATTGTGTACGTTTTTGTCTGTTATGAATTTTTCCTCCTTTTCAAAATGACGGGATAATAATACAGCTTTACTTTTAGAAATTATCATAAAACAAAAAATTAATACGTCGGTAGAATTAATTATTATGCATAATATTTATAATTAATTTTACAAGACAGATAAAATCACGATCTGAGTTCATTGTACCTCGTCACAACGTGTTAAAATTAAACCGGTGCATCCTACATTTACTCGGCACTCGAATGTAATTACGCGAAATCAAGTTTTTCAACTGTTATTCAGGACCATTGTGCCTAAGTGCACGTATTTATCACGGCCATCTCATAATTATAACTTCAGCATTAACGGGCCCTGTTTTTCAGTACGGCCCCCAAGATTAATCGGGATTCGCTCCGGGCTCCTTTATTCTCAACTCCTGAGGCCGCTTCTTCATTAGCATATTCAATAACAAACAGTTGTTGTTTTATTTGACCCGCGGTGTCTTGAAAAGTGTAAATGTTTCGACAAACCCTTCCGCATTTTGGCGAGCTCGACGGCTGCGAATAACTTAAACTAACCGACGGAAACGATGATGAATGGAGCCCCCGAGAAACGTATTTGGTGCTTTTCATTATAAACCATAATTCGATTCGTTATACGATGATTTCGCCCAGGTGTGATTTATGCACTTTAACGGAAAAAATCATTGATTCTGATTTATTGGCCGTTTTCATTCATAAGGTGCTGTTTTGTTCTATTTTATACCTTTTCTCAACAACTCATCTGGTTGAGCTTAACATACACCGTTCCAGTCACGATCCAACTTCATTCGTCGATCATATGCATAATTATGAATACCCGTCTTGTGAAAAACAGTTAGTTAGGTTCTGACTAAAAGTCTTAATTAATAACATTAAATAATAACATTTAAAACGTGTCCGCCTCCAATTCTCTCCAAAAGCAATTTAACAAACCAAATTTTGCGTAATGACGCAATAGTTAAAGCAGAACAAATGATATAATCTGTTAAAGAAACAATCAATTTTACATTTTTTAATTTCAAATTTTTCAAACTAATCTAGTTCTCTCCCTTTGTTGAAACTATGTAACACTGTTGTATTTAAATTTGAATTGAAATTATGTTTTGTTTCTTTTAGATGGTCCTTCAATTCCGACAATTTGTTCGATTTAGGAATAAAATAAAATAATAAAAAAATTAACCTTAAAAGAATCAACAATAGGGCTCAGCCACCCCACCATAAATGAATCATTTGGTTTCCGTTGTTTGCCATACATTGGTGAATTATCTGAAAAAGTTAGTAAAATTTTGAAACAAGGTTTTAGAATATCTTTTAGAAGTACGGGTTCACAAAAAGCAGCCTCACAAAACCTAAAGACAAAGTAGATAACTTGGGAAAAAGCGGGGTTTACCAACTTAATTGTAATGATTGTGATATTAAATATATAGAACAAATGTGTGTGATTAGTGATGATTATTCTGAAATCGTGAGATGCGGTCGGGAGTGATGTAGGTTTCAGAAAAGCATTTTCTTTATCGTGCCAACATTTCGATCTTTATTGAGATCATCTTCAGGGCCTGGGGTTTACAAACATTGTTTAAATTTAACAAATACATGTAGGGTGTGCAAAAAGTTGAATTTATACAATGCAAAAAAATATTTTTATATTCAATCAAAGTATTTCTACTCCCTCAAAGTGTTTGTTTTTCGGAACCGCACTCACTCCATCATTCATCATTTCTACATGTTGTGTTACAGAATTGCATTAAAAAATGGTTTAAAATTGTTCTTCATGAGTCGTATTATTCACTTAATTTTTAAAGAAGACCAACCCTTTATGATATGATTAATTTCATTTAACTGATGAACCAAAACAGTAATTACCTAGTTAAATAGTAGTTGTCGTAAAATTAACATATATTTTATTGTATGTACCTAGAATTTTGGTCTAACATATCGGATTATCATACTGTTGGTTATATTGTAATCGAATACTTTTACATACCATCGTTAAAATCACCCATCCTGGTGAGTTCAACGTCAGTAGTAATGTTATTTTTTCTTCTTAGCAACTCCTTCTGGCACACCCGGTGAACGATCACACGACGATCATTCTCGACGACATCGAGTACGAGGACATGAGGCTGTTGCTCGACTTTATCTACACTGGTGGAACTGCTGTGCCGGAGGAAAGGCTGGACTCGTTCATAAAAGCGGCAGAAACTCTCCAGGTGACCGTACTGAAGGATAAAAGCCTGCATTCGCATTGGAGGATGGTCGAGGAGAAACGGCCTGTCCCTTGTCTGGTGCCTATTCGCCCCCAATTGGGCATCATCACCCCCAGCCCGTGGACGCAGTCAGCAAGGCCGCCAGTCTGCGTGCCCAGAAGACCTGTACACTCGCCTCTGCAGGTAAATTTTATTAAAGATTTGAATTAAATCGAAACGTCGGCAAAGATTCTAAGCGTTTTCTTTCCAACAACCGTTATGGGATCTATAATCCCATCACCACCGATACGAACACCACAATAATTTCTCAACCTATTTTACTAAACATTTTTATATTACAAAGATTTTTAAGGGAAACTATCTGATTCCTGCATTCACTTGCATCCTACGTTTTTAATTATGTTAAATTTTTAATTGTTTTTATTCGACGTCCTAAAGAATATATTAACTGCCAATGAAAGCCCGACGAAAAACTTTAGTTGACATACAGTACACTGTCAAACCAAATTTAGATATATTTTAGTTAAATCGAGATAAATTTCTTCAATATATTGTGTTCTTATATGAAAAGGGTTGACCAGAAATCGTTTTTGTACAATAACGCGTATAAAAATTGGTCTTTACAAAACTGTTACTGGGTTGGTCTGTCAGTCGTGTTTCGTGTCATTTTACAATCTTCAGTGTGTGTGCGCCTAATTCCCCTGCAGACAACACCAAGAAATCGTACAATTAATTTTATAGGTCTTAATATTTCATTAAATACAACATTTAAAATTAATAAATACTTACAAAATGGTTATTATTATGATAATGATCTAACAAAGAAATCACTGACGATTATCTTTCCTTTTAATTGTGATTTTTCGACGAACGTTCATTTTTACCTTACACCTGATCAATTACAAATGGTTTCAAATTATTTAAATCGAAGGTGTTAATTTATCCTTAATTATTCTGATTGACACATTATGTCTATCTGTGATTTCAGTGTATCATTAATGACCCATTTTCCCCTGGAGATCAACAAATTTAAAAAAGATGTCGACATCGAGGAGCGGCCAGATTACTTTTTTTAGGCAACGTGTACGTTTCATTCCCATGTTCCTTGTGATATGCTAAGATCTCCGTGTTTTTGTCCTTTAGAGATGATCGTCTTGAACTTCAGCCCACCCAAAGCTCGTCTCGCCGCACTTAAAATGTACAACCCACATCCGCTATTCTATTTTTCCAAAACCACGAACTAAGCACGTGGTTCCTGCGGCTTAAACGTTCATTGTCAGTAATATCGCTCAACTGGGATATTAAGGATTGTAACGCCGTTAACTAATGCATATTGAATTTAGATAGTTGTCTACCAATTATTTTCTTAAGTCTAATTGTAATAATAATCTAATACCACAGAAGGTCCAGTATTTAAAAAAATATTATTATTACTTTAAAGACATAAATATGACGGACTTTACAATTATTTTATCATAAAATTTCTGAAGTACAGGGAGATTTTATCTGAACTGCACTAATAATTATCAGCTGCATTATAAAACTATGATTTAAATTCTATTATTAATAGAATTAAATAAAACCTTCAACTGAAAATTATGACTATTAATATTATTACTCCTTGATTTATTTAAATAAAATAAATATGTACAAACCTATCACAAATGAAATATTGTATCTTACCCAATGGCGACCCCTCTTGCTCAAATTACTGACAGGGTAGTCACCATAATATTCAAAGAAAAAAGTAATTAAATATAAGTTAACAAAAGTACTTGTTTGAAAAATTAATTTTTTCTCAAAAAGTAATCAGTGTTATTAACAAGCAAAAAAGAACTTGTCAATGTACGTTGGATCGTTAACTTTAAATAAAAATAGTCGTCCTTTTGCTTTAAAAGCATATTCCTTTAATTAAGCTAATCATTGCAATAAATATTATTAATTGATAATATAAAAATATTAATACGATATTAGACGAATAAACTATTTGATACATAGTTAATTAATATTTATTTATTATTACTGCCTAAATGACAACGTTCTGATAATGTGGACAATTTAGGTGCCGACAAACAGTTAAGGTCATCGCCGGCCCTCTGCGTGTTTACAATGTTCTAACATGCCATCAATTGATTTTTGAAATGTTACAGTCTATGCTTTCGTATATTTTTTAATTCGGTTCATCATTTGTTTTAATTGAGAATTGTACCTCAGGCTAATAAACGTATAAAGCATTAAATAATTTAAAAAACGACATTGATCTTTAAATTTAATTTGTACATTATAAATTCAGTTGCCGACGAACGTGAAGGGTTAAACAGGATTTACATATAAATAGGATTTTTCTACCGGAATAATAGGACTAGATCAAAGAAGCCGGATCTTATGACAATTAATTATTCCAACAGATTGCTATTTATTTCTCATTCACAAAGATCTGCGATATAACATTTTTGATGCGCTCGCCCTAAAAGCTTAACGTCAGTACAATTGAATTGTGTTAATTAAAATATCTACTTTTACGTTAGAGATATTTTGAAGGCATTTATAAACTTTTTCGATGAAATGGACATTTTTATTTCCAACGTATTAATTAGTTAGTGGAGATGTAAGTGTTAAAGCGTGTTAAAAAAAGAGCTTTGATGAATTGTAAGTCATACGTCAAAGTCCCTCCTCATAAATTATAATGGTTCGACTTCATCTTCTAGAGGTACACACGTCGGTTTTTGACAAGGCAAACGTGGTCTCTTATTAAAGAATTCCTTTTTTTCCGCTTACATTCCGCGGTTATGAAACTCTCCAGATTTAAATTAAGAAACACCGCTGGGCGATAAATTCTCCTAGAGCCGGAATTTAATTTCGGAATGGAAAGAAGTACACATATGAGACGCCTTGTGGGCAATTCTATAAAATGGTATTTACAGGCTTTTTATCGGCCGTGTTTTACCACCGGCGAAGTTCAGTACCAAAAGGATAGCGTGCGGATTAACGCCGCGTGAACAGCCATCGGATGAGGATTTAGTGTGAGGAAAGCGTTCGAAACCTACTGGGGAGTTATGCTTTCTACAAAACTTATGAATACATTACAAGGTGTTCAACAAATAAACATTTCCTCGACCAATAAATTTCCAGAGGAACTGTGCCGTTTCTTAATACTAGCTTTCGTTTGTATCTCAGCTCGCTAAATTATTTGGCTAGTTATTAATATAAAAATAATCACACGGACAAAAACTGTAAATCGATACATAGTCCTAGTTTCAAAACCGGCCCGGAGTGAATTCAACGAATCAGACTGAATTAAAACGTTCCAGTTACTACATGTCCAAAGAAATATATTTCAAACATTTATTACATTTATCAAAAAATAAATTGATGCGTTTTTTAATAATATACGTTATAAATATCAATTAGTTTGTGTTTATTTTCGTCTTCTATAGCCAGATCTATTTCTGATCTCTCTGCCATCTTACTTCATATAATACTGCTTATATGGATACCGAATTTTAGCCTTACTAAAGATCTACAGAAATAAATTAAATACTAACCCCATAACTCGCCGGATAAAACTAGATGAGTCATTTTATCATAAGTCAAATAAAAGATGTGCATTAAGCCTTACGGCCTGACAGACTGTGTATCAATGTAAAAACCGAGAGGGGAAACAGTTTTTTTAAAAAGAAAAGAGCCTTTTCATTCACATCGAAAAGGTACGTCAACATCTCGCTAATTGTACTTGTCTAATTTTAAACTGAAATAAAATAAATCTATTTAACTATTCTAAGGAATGAGACTAGGTGTAACAAAGATATTGTTTTTTCGTTGTAACATTTGAACTTAGAAAACCAAAAAAAAACTGTACCGGAACATTTTTTCTAAAATTAGTCATAAGGTTGCTAAATTTTTAATTATTTTGTCCTAACGGTCATTTTTTTATTTGTATATAAAAATTGTAAAAATATAATTGTTTGGAATTTTGGAGGAGAAAATGCCCTGAGACGCATCAAGGTTATCATAGAAATAAAAATTAACTAATTAGATTTTTGTGTGTTAACAATGTCAAAATTACAACTAAAGTAATCAATATAAAATATATCAATTTTAGCACCAATTCATTTTGACAAAGTTGCTAAGTTAATTTACAAGTGGTGAGTTTGTTCTTGAATAATTCACTAACTGTTGACTTCCTCTGCTAACTTGTTACACCGAGCGGAAATAATTTGTAGTGTACTCTTTGTAACTCGTTAAGATTTCACGGTTAATTATCACCGTCGGTTTTATCAAGGAGATAAATAGAAATAATGCTGCTTGAAACGGCTCAATTATATCATATTGAATAACACGATCATAGGTAAACGGCCGAATTATTTTTCCTCCTGCCCGGCCCGTTTAAAGTTCACTGGTCACGAATCGCTCCTCGTCATAATCATAATTGCCCCGGGGATTCTATTTCCGAATATATTTACGACGTTTCCCACCGTCAATTGGACACTTACGACAAATCTATGAATGAAATTCCAGTCACGTTGCCACGAATCAGCAACAACGAAAAAGTAACGAACATGGCCAAATGTTTAACGGAAGAGATATGCTAGGTGTCGCGGACCTTTTCTATTGCCTTGCCGAATATTAAAACAAAAAATTGTCTTTTCTTGCTTAAATGACTGTCCTAAAATAGAAAAAATTCACATTAAAAGAGATATCTAGCCCTTCGCAACGTCCATCGAAATTATCCAATTCCAAAACCTGCTGACATAGATGAAATAGATACTGCAATGTTTCTTATCATTGGTTTACTATGAACAATTAGAACATAATAATTATATAAACAGTTACTTCTTCAACGTAAAACAAAAATATTATTAGCCGAAATTTATTAAAATTATTAATTTTAGAATTAAAATATTAACATTATTAACATTTTCAATCTAAATCTTAACTATTTCAATTAATTATTCTTTTTATCTAAGGTCTTGGTTGAGATGAAAAAATTGCTAAAAGAGAAAAAATTCAAACTGTTGTAAGTTGAGATGAGGAGTTGTGTCCGAGTAAATAAAACTGCTTGATGTAATGCTATATAATAATAAAAACTTGTATTCATTTAAAAGAAAATATAATCAAAGGTTGTTAACAAGACGGTCAGCCTCTATAATTGGAATATACAACAAAAAAATTATCATTAAATA